GTGTGTGTGTGTGTGTGTGTGTGTGTGTGTGTGTGTGTGTGTGTGTGTGTGTGGATTTCTGGTGATGGTGATCGCTCTTGGTGGTGAATTCTGGTAATGGTGATTTTTAGCAGTGATTTCTGATTACGGTGATATCTGGTGGTTATCTGATGGTGAGGGTAGTTTATTTGTTTAACCACGAACTTGTGTTTTCTTAATTGGTGGTTACCCTGGAAACACAAACCGAAACTGTCTCTATTTTCCGCTTGTTACAACGGGTAATAAAGCTGTTACATCTTGGCTTAACGTGTTTATGACGTATTAAAACGTTGTCACAACTTGCTATATTGGTTGTTATAACTGGTTAGGAGGTGTTAAAACTTGTTCGAACGTTGTACCAACGTTTCGGTGTGTGTTTGGCGGGTAAGGCTTATAGCCCAAAGGCACCTCAACTCACTGGTCAATTTGCTCCTATTCCAAATGGTAAAATGGATCAAAGTTGGAGATCTTTCACCCTACAAAATGTCATATTTTCAGGAGTACCTGGATTAGAGTGAACAATGCCATTGTCGCAATTGGAGGCTTGGGTTTACAGACGTCTTCGTAACGTAAATAACGCGAAACTTGTGATTTATTTGTAATATGTTGCACTCAGTTATTCTACTGGGCGTTATGTACTCGCCTAGGTTGTGCTTGCGGGGGGTTGAGCTCTGGCTCTTTGGTCCCACCTGTGTATGTGTGGTCAAGGCGTTGGAGGAGAGCTTACTGGGTCGTCTCTCAACCCGTCCTCTTAAAAATAACGTCACTTTTGGCTGGTATGCGCACTATGGCCAAATTTGGACGTAATTTGAAATGAAATCGACTCACAAAAGTGACGTACTGTTCCGTTTTCTGTTTGAGTCGTCCGACCGACTCTGTAGTCTCGTGAGGGGCCAGATAAGTGGTTTTGTTGTGGATTTCTGATGGTGTTCTGCTGGTCGGTGGTGTTCTGCTGGTCGGTGGTGTTCTGCTGGTCGGTGGTGTTCTGCTGGTCGGTGGTGTTCTGCTGGTCGGTGGTGTTCTGCTGGCTGGTGTTCTCCCGGCTCCACACCACCACTGTGTTCTGAGTGCTGCTTCTCCAGTTGTGAGTGGCAAGAGAGGGACCCAGAAGTGGCCCCTCAGGAGATCAAGGGGCCCTCAAGTGGGTGGCAACGAGCGAGCCCCCCGTGCCATATCACTAACCATCTCGCTTGGCTTCCTCTTCCCTCCGTTCTGACTTCCTCTCTGTGCCTGACCTTTGACTTCCTCTTCGTGCCTGACCCTTGACTTCCTCTTCGTGCCTGACCCTTGACTTCCTCTTTGTGCCTGACCCTTGACTTCCTCTCTGTGCCTGACCTTTGACTTCCTCTTCGTGTCTGACCCTTGACTTCCTCTTCGTGCTTGACCCTTGACTTCCTCTTTGTGTCTGACCCTTGAATTCCTCTCTGTGCCTGATCCTTGACTTCCTCTTCGTGCCTGACCCTTGACTTCCTCTGTGTCTGACCCTTGACTTCCTCTTTGTGCCTGACCATTGACTTCCTCTTTGTGCCTGACCCTTGAATTCCTCTCTGTGCCTGATCCTTGACTTCCTCTTCGTGCCTGACCCTTGACTTCCTCTTTATGCCTGACCCTTGACTTCCTCTCTGTGCCTGACCTTTGACTTCCTCTTCGTGTCTGACCCTTGACTTCCTCTTTGTGCCTGACCCTTGACTTCCTCTTTGTGTCTGACCCTTGAATTCCTCTCTGTGCCTGATCCTTGACTTCCTCTTCGTGCCTGACCCTTGACTTCCTCTTTGTGCCTGACCCTTGACTTCCTCTCTGTGCCTGAACCTTGCCTTCCTCTTTGCACCTGACCTTTGATTTTCTGTTCCTGACCCTTGACTTCCTCCTTAGTGCCTGACCTTGACTTCCTCTTTTGGTGTCTCTTTCACACGAGTTTATCGGGTTTCCTCTTGGTGAGTCTTGGCTCGGTTTCCACCAGCTGTCTCTTCCTCCTCCTCTTCTTATTGTTCTATGTCCATTATTATGAAGGTTCTTAATTCGTTTTCATTTAGTTCTGTGTTCATCAGCTCTCTCTCTCTCTCTCTCTCTCTCTCTCTCTCTCTCTCTCTCTCTCTCTCTCTCTCTCTCTCTCTCTCTCTCTCTCTCTCCTCGTCAGGCTCTGCTGTCTGCTCCACAGCCAACTGTTCTCTGTGGTTCTCACTCCTGTTGTACCCACTAATATCCCTTCTACTCCCACTAATATCCCTTCTACACCCACTAACCACTAATATCCCTTCTACACCCACTAATATCTCTTCTACACCCACTAATATCCCTTCTACACCCACTAATATCCCTTCTACACCCACTAATATCCCTTCTACACCCACTAATATCTCTTCTACACCCACTAATATCTCTTCTACACCCACTAATATCCCTTCTACACCCATTAATATCTCTTCTACACCCACTAATATCCCTTCTACACCCACTAATATCCCTCCTACACCCACTCTCCCTCACAACATTCCTTCCCTCACACTTCCCCATCACCACACAAGCTCCCTCCTTCCCTCTATCCACCCTCTCTCCCATCCCCTCTCCCTCCCTCCCTCCCTCTTTCACTCGAGTTTTCCCTGTTCCTCTCCTATCCCTGACTTTCATTACCTCCGTTCTATTGCATTCCGGGCAAAGCAAGTGAGGGAATGTGGAATGGGTCGCCTCTTGGTCTCTCTCTTAGCTCCTGGGCCCCAGACAGTGTCAGCTGACTCTAGGGTAGATTTAAGGGTAAAAGATACTTACTTAAAATAACTTTGGTTGTGTTTTGAAGGTGTTGGTGAGAGTGGGTGGAGAATTTGGAGGCCCTCCACGGCTTGTTTACCCGGCACTGGCGGTCGAGTGCTTGCGAGGCGTTCATACTTATGACTCGTAGTGCATTATGGGGGGTCGAGTGTGACTCGTATAGCATTATGGGGGTCGAGTGTGGCTCGTAGAGCATTATGGGGGTCGAGTGTGGCTCGTAGAGCATTATGGGGGTCGAGTGTGGCTCGTAGACCATTGTGGGGGGTCGAGTGTGGCTCGTAGAGCATTATGGGGGTCGAGTGTGGCTCGTAGACCATTGTGGGGGGTCGAGTGTGTCTCGTAGAGCATTATGGGGGGTCGAGTGTGGCTCGTAGAGCATTATGGGGGGTCGAGTGTGGCTCGTAGAGCATTATGGGGGGTCGAGTGTGGCTCGTAGAGCATTATGGGGGTCGAGTGTGGCTCGTAGAGCATTATGGCGGTCGAGTGTGGCTCGTAGAGCATTGTGGCGGTCGAGTGTGGCTCGTAGAGCATTATGGGGGTCGAGTGAGGCTCGTAGAGCATTATGGGGGTCGAGTGTGGCTCGTAGAGCATTATGGCGGTCGAGTGAGGCTCGTAGAGCATTATGGGGGTCGAGTGAGGCTCGTAGAGCATTATGGCGGTCGAGTGTGGCTCGTAGAGCATTATGGGGGTCGAGTGTGGCTCGTAGAGCATTATGGGGGTCGAGTGTGGCTCGTAGAGCATTATGGGGGTCGAGTGTGGCTCGTAGAGCATTATGGGGGTCGAGTGAGGCTCGTAGAGCATTATGGGGGTCGAGTGTGGCTCGTAGAGCATTATGGGGGTCGAGTGTGGCTCGTAGAGCATTATGGGGGTCGAGTGTGACTCGTAGAGCATTATGGGGGTCGAGTGTGACTCGTAGAGCATTATGGGGGTCGAGTGTGACTCGTAGAGCATTATGGGGGTCGAGTGTGACTCGTAGAGCATTATGGGGGTCGAGTGTGACTCGTAGAGCATTATGGGGGTCGAGTGTGACTCGTAGAGCATTATGGGGGTCGAGTGTGACTCGTAGAGCATTATGGGGGTCGAGTGTGGCTCGTAGAGCATTATGGGGGTCGAGTGTGACTCGTAGAGCATTATGGGGGTCGAGTGAGGCTCGTAGAGCATGGCAGGTGTGGGGTTGAGAGCGCTGAGATTGGCTGTCTCAGGTCTGCAGTTTTTGTTAAACTCGAGTTCTGATTGGCTGCGTAGTCGCTGAAGGTAATCGGGTTGTTTAACGGGCTGGGTGGCCTGCCCCGTCCTCCTAAGGTTCCCCAACGTCAAGAAACTGTCGTACTAAAGTGCCCTTATCCTAACCTGCCAGAGGACCCAAAACAGAAAACGGGACAGCATGACACGAGCCGCTACTATTTTCTAGTACGATAATGTTTGACCGTATGTCAAGGTTGCGTCAAAAATGCGACGCTCTATTAGGATGACGTGTTGGTGTGGGGCCCAGGAGCTGGAGTGCTCTAATTGTAGCAAAGGGGCTGTACTTAACTGATTTGGGCTGTTTGTTCTGTTACATTACTTTGGGAATGAGGAATTTTGACGTCAAAATCCAATGTATTATTTGACTGGATAGATTGCCAAGCCAATCACCTGCAATGACCAAACGACCCTGTAATAATGTATTTAGTGGTCATTTAACTAAAATATAATTAGGTGTAACCATCAAAGAGGATCTAGCTCCTGGCCCTGACGATCCGAGTGGTCTCTCTATCCCCTTATCTACTCAAAGCTAACGACGCCTATTCAGGAATGACTGGGTCTGATTGGCTCATTACCTCGCAAGGTGACCCCATACATGATCAAGTCTCTCAGACAAAAATAGCAGATGTATCCCTATTTTTTTCAGACAGTGATGGAGAGTGTTCTCTTTGATTAGACTTGTAGAAGGAGTTAATATTACAGGCCAACCCTGCAGTCCTGTACCCACCCACACCATACAGCTGGGTGTGGTGTACCCCAGCCACACCATGCAGCTGGGTGTGGTGTTCCCAGCCACACCATGCAGCTGGGTGTGGTGTACCCCAGCCACACCATGCAGGTGGGTGTGGTGTACCCCAGCCACACCATGCAGCTGGGTGTGGTGTACCCCAGCCACACCATGCAGCTGGGTGTGGTGTTCCCAGCCACACCATGCAGCTGGGTGTGGTGTACCCCAGCCACACCATGCAGCTGGGTGTGGTGTATCCAGCCACACCATACAGCTGGGTGTGGTGTACCCCAGCCACACCATACAGCTGGGTGTGGTGTACCCAACCACACCATACAGCTGGGTGTGGTGTACCCAGCCACACCATACAGCTGGGTGTGGTGTACCCCAGCCACACCATACAGCTGGGTGTGGTGTACCCAGCCACACCATACAGCTGGGTGTGGTGTACCCCAGCCACACCATGCAGCTGGGTGTGGTGTTCCCAGCCACACCATGCAGCTGGGTGTGGTGTACCCAGCCACACCATACAGCTGGGGGTGGTGTACCCCAGCCACACCATGCAGGTGGGTGTGGTGTACCCCAGCCACACCATACAGCTGGGTGTGGTGTACCCCAGCCACACCATACAGCTGGGTGTGGTGTACCCCAGCCACACCATACAGCTGGGTGTGGTGTATCCAGCCACACCATACAGCTGGGTGTGGTGTATCCAGCCACACCATGCAGCTGGGTGTGGTGTATCCAGCCACACCATACAGCTGGGTGTGGTGTACCCCAGCCACACCATGCAGCTGGGTGTGGTGTACCCAGCCACACCATACAGCTGGGTGTGGTGTACCCCAGCCACACCATGCAGCTGGGTGTGGTGTACCCCAGCCACACCATACAGCTGGGTGTGGTGTACCCAACCACACCATACAGCTGGGTGTGGTGTACCCAACCACACCATACAGCTGGGTGTGGTGTACCCCAGCCACACCATACAGCTGGGTGTGGTGTACCCCAGCCACACCATGCAGCTGGGTGTGGTGTATCCAGCCACACCATACAGCTGGGTGTGGTGTACCCCAGCCACACCATACAGCTGGGTGTGGTGTATCCAGCCACACCATGCAGCTGGGTGTGGTGTATCCAGCCACACCATACAGCTGGGTGTGGTGTATCCAGCCACACCATGCAGCTGGGTGTGGTGTATCCAGCCACACCATGCAGCGAAGATTATACTCTCTGGGACGCTTCAGTATTGACGCCACTAAGGAACCAACTAGGGGGAGGTTCTCGGTGCCAGGATCAACGGTCAGAGTCGCCTTACGAACCCCGTCTTCAGTGCGGTGTTCGTAAGGCTTTCGTAAGGTTTCGAAAGGCTTTGTAAGGCTTTCGTAAGGATTCGTAAGGTTTCGAAAGGCTTTGTAAGGCTTTCGTAAGGTTTTGAAAGGTTTCGTAAGGCTTTCACAAGGATTCGAAAGGTTTCGAAAGGCTTCGTAAGGCTTTTGCAAGGATTCGAAAGGTTTCAAAAGGCTTCGTAAGGCTTTCGCAAGGATTCGAAAGGTTTCGAAAGGCTTCGTAAGGCTTTTGCAAGGATTCGAAAGGCTTCGTAAGGCTTTTGTAAGGATTCGAAAGGTTTCAAAAGGCTTCGTAAGGCTTTCGCAAGGATTCGAAAGGTTTCAAAAGGCTTCGTAAGGCTTCGTAACGTTTCATGAGGCGTACCGCGAGGACGTGCAGAGAGCCGTGGAGGAAGCCCACGTTGCATCACAACCCAGCTAATATAAAACTGAAGAAAGTCCAAAGAGCCTCGGCTGGCTGGATAGTAAGCGGGAAGTCCCGTGGACGTGACGCTCGGCCTTGGCAGGACTTAAAACATTTCGTTAAATTACGAAGCGCTGCGGAGGTGTCATTAGAGAATTGGAGGAGACGGTAAAAGGTGAGAAAGAGAGAGAGAGAGAGAGAGAGAGAGAGAGAGAGAGAGAGAGAGAGAGAGAGAGAGAGAGAGAGAGAGAGAGAGAGAGAGAGAGAGAGAGAGAGAGAGAGAGAGAGAGAGAGACTTTTTCTTTTCACCTTTTTTTATTAGGGAGGGAGGGATGTGTGGGGGGGAGGGGGAGGGGTTCATCGATATATTTTACCTGGGATTAAAAAAAAAACAGGTGGGTTTTTGTGTTTGGATAGTGAGGAAAAGCTGGGATATTAAAGGTGTGTGAGCTTTAGCTTATGGCGATATTTGATGGTGGTGGAGAGAGCCAAGGATGTATGGTGAGAGAGAGAGAGAGAGAGAGAGAGAGAGAGAGAGAGAGAGAGAGAGAGAGAGAGAGAGAGAGAGAGAGAGAGATGGGAAAACATCCGTTGCAGTCATGTCTAACTCTTCCAGGTATTTTGTATGTAAACAAAAAATTCAAGATGTTATGATACTTGTAAGACACTAGTGGGTGTAGCAAGAGTGAATCATAAGAGAAAAATAATAAGCTTCTTTAACTGGGTGGAAAATATAGTAAACAAATATCCGGAAAATAAGTCACAGCAACGTTTATGAAACAAATGAAGTGGACGAGGCGGTCAGCCCATCAGGCTGTAAACACTATCACTACATCTGCAGATATTTAAGACAAGTAGCGGATTGGTCAACATTAACGCAGGCGATGAGTCACAATAACGTGGCTGAGGTATGTTGACCAATCCACACACTAGAAAATGAAGGGACGACGACGTTTCGGTCCGTCCTGGACCATTCTCATGTCGATTGTGACTTGAGAATGGTCCAGGACGGACCGAAACGTCGTCGTCCCTTCATTTTCTAGTGTGTGGATTGATCCACATTAACGCAACTACAACTATTTAGGGGATATATGTGTCTTATGGGGGCACTCTTACCACCACTCTCGGGTAGTCCTGGCTATTGTTTTCTAACTTAGTGAAACTGCAAGCATGAGCTGTTATCCTGAATTAACTCAGTTGAAACCTACTCCTAGAGACTCATTTATTTCATGTCTGGCACTATGACCACCTGTATGCTTACTATCCCCGTTCTTCTTTCTTGCTTTCCTTTCTCCCTTCTTACATTCCCTTCTTCTCTTCTCCTGCTCCTTCCACACCCTCTTTACCACTTCCTCTTTCCATCTTTATGTCTCCGTTCTCTCTGCTTTGGCCAATCTACATTCCTTTTCCTCTATATTTCTTCTTGATTTTCCTTCTAGTTCTTACTTCCTTCAAACAATAATTTCCTACTCTCTTTTTGATCCAACATTCTCTTCCATTCGTCCCACTGATTTAAAAGATAGAAGCTCATTATT